CTGCTCAAAGTCTTAAATTCCACATTATTAAAATGTTTTCTAATTAGAACATTAATGCAAATAATAAAAAACAGCACACAAGAGTTTCCTAGTAAAGCAGAGAACAAGATATACGTGTGTCAAATTAAAGGTCTAGGAAAAAATAATAATTTGTCAAGTAAATTAACTTAATCAACTCCAAAGAGATCCTGTACTGTTGCTAAAAGATAGTCTCGCTCCCAGATATCTGCAGTGCAAATTGAAACCATCTATAAACAAGTCAATATGACAATTGATGGAAAGTAGTAGTAGTAATGAGACAGTAAATAATAGGTATTAGCTATTCTGTAACTTCAAACGTCAAAAAGAAAAAAAACGAGCAGGTATGTCGCATCAAACTGAAATGTATGTGCAAAATAGGACAATAAACTGAGGTCCCTCCATTGCCTTGAGCTCTGTCCTCAGGGGAAGGAACACCAGCTTTCCATCAGTGACGCAAAAGACTAAACATGCCAAGGACTCTGTAATAGCAAGAATCTGAGCAGCAAGACAAATCTTTAGGGGCTAGTACATCCTAGTGGAAAGCAAGGATCTAAGTTTAGGGAGACCAGAGAGAGGATGGATTAGCATCTCAGGCCCCGGCTTAAAGGCCTGAATGACAATGAAGATAGCGGATTTGACCGTATGCACACTACAGAACAGACCGATCAAAAGAGGGATGCAAAGCTTAGAAGTGCAACCTACTTTCTGAAAGTATTTTTTAAATTAAATTGTACAAAAATTTGTGGGCTCTCAATACCATTCATACCTAGCTTAGTGCGATTTACCTGTACTGGAGTTCAACAGGTGGGGATGGAAAGAAGAGAAGAATATTGTTTTAGATAGTCTGAAGATAAAGAGATAGGTCAGGTTATGGTAAAATCGACAGTTCAGTTTCAATTTAAATTGTCTGGAATCTCCATCAATTGCTTTGAATATTTTTTAAAAGAAATCCAATTATAGATATGATCAAAATAAGCTTAAGGTGATACCGAGATACAACAGGAGAAAAGCTTGCAAGATAGGTTAAAGTGTTTTCAGAAACATGGCAGAGTAGTTCAAAACAGGAAGTGCATGATCAAGACAAGCCTGACGCTGTAAGTTTGAAAAGTGAACTCATGCCTGAGAATAGGAAACGTACTAGCAAAGCTCACGCAGGATTCACCTTATTTAAGAGAAAACTATCGGTACTTAACTATAGAGACATAGTATACGTTCATGAAGTTCAAGAGGTAAGTACTAATTAATACAGCAGCCAGACATCCTGTATTTGCTACAGCTGATCCGGGTTAAAAGGTTACGGTCCCTCACATCTGCTGACTCAGTTGTGCACATAGCAGCTCCTGAACACCATCCTGTCAAATTCTGTCTGGTTTAAGTAAAAGAAGACTTTGTGTGTGGGTTTTTTTTGTTTTAGGGTTTTTGTTTTTTGTTTTTTTAAAGACAGGATTAAGTTAAGACTCCTTCATTTATGTGGATAAGACAGCAGATTTTTTCACCAAGATCAGATAAGTATCTGACAATGCTATTATGTCATGATATGATAAAATAAAGATGCTCCAACATACAAGATTGCCATGATAGTGTTTCTGACACATTGCGCAAACTTTAGGGAATAACTTGTCAAGACTAACAAATACAAACACAGTAAAACAAATTTGTAACAAAACTGATGACTAAAAGCACAAACATGTACTATGTTACCTTGTGTAAGACAGGGACAACTACCTATATAAACTATCCCAGTTTTACTCGTGGTGACAAGAAAATTCAATTAATATAAAATAAACTCCATGACTTCAAAATGTGTTTCAATAGCCCAAGAAAAATGTATGCTTGGAGGTTTTGTTTGGTTGGTTGGTTTTAAGTCCCAGGTTACAAAGGTTGTTATCCCTTCCCCCACGTCGTACCTTCCAGCTATTCAAATTTTATCCGCATTAAAGTGTTTTAATTCATTTCTGCATATATGTAACTGATTATATGGAAAGAACCAGAACAAAACATAGATAATAAAAACTGCATACATTTGACAAGACAACAAACATGGGCAACTACTTTTTAAAAGTATACTGGACAATTTTAAATACAAGAATAGCAAAACTAGAGGATCAGAAAATGAGATACAGCTGACTTGAAAAAAAAAAATGATTTTTTTCAATAAGGTTCCAAATTATGTACTTTTAAAAGTCTAAACTTCCTGAGCTACTACGTGCTCAAGATTTCTTAACTGCGCCCTCTTTTGCTGCCCAGAAATATTATCCAGATAACATGCATTTCAGTATCCAAAGCATACACTGCTCAACAAAAATTTGCAATCCAAGCCTACACTAGACATCTTAGAACAGCCCTTCTTTAAAAGTTTGGGAACCTACAACCATGTGCAGAGTCATTCATTTAACAGATCCAAAGTTAACACCCCCCCAGACCCTTAAAATAACTGGTGCCATATTCATCCTCACAAGCCTCCTCAAACGACCCTGGCCCCCCTTCAATGACGCATCTCCAACATCCACTCTCCTCCCATCTCTTAGGTCCACGACTGGAAGATCTCTTTAACTAAGTCCTGTCTCTCTAAGCTGAGGAGTCGGAAAGTTGATCATAAAGAGGTGGTGCCCGTTTTTCCTGCAAATTCCTGCAAAATCTGACCTTTCCCCTTCGCGTCAAGGTGAGACAGAACTGATCGCAAGCACCTGGGAGAAGAGCGGAGATGAAAACAACGCCTGTAACGCAGTAATTTTAAAAGTTACGGGAAATCGGAGACACGGACGAACGCAACATCGCCCAGGTTTACACGGGTCCTTTCAGGAAAAGGCCGAAGCAAAACGCTCTGACAGCGAGTCCAAAGCGGCGCTGCCCGCGGGCCCCCCGCACCGCTACCGGCACCGGCCGTGAGGGGCGGCCCG